GCATGCGAGGCAAGCACTCTACCAACTGAGTTATATCCCCAGCCCTGCTTTGAGTTCCTTTAAGCAGATGTTCTCAATAGGAGGATAATAATCAGCTGGGTAACTATATCAGTAGTCTGATATTCCTGAGAGGAAGAAGGGAAAAAATGTATTCTGCAAATAGCTCCTGGGGTGATTCTCGTCATACCTCCCTCTCCTGGTTCAGCTGAGAACTGCGGCTTTAAGTTAAATTGCTATTTCCACTGAGCAGAGGTTTATTTTGTCCACCCCTCTTTTGGGGCCTCCATTCAAATCATAACTCCTTTGTGTCTGTGGGTGGGAACCACTGTACTGCTTGAATGTGGTGAAAAGCAAGGAGTTAAGCTATCTAGCTTCTTTTATACAATGTTGTTCTGATAAATTGGAAACTCTAGTAATCAAATCCCACCTACCAGCTGCCTGGGCCTCATGGCAGATTGGGCAGCCCTGAACCTGCAAGCAAGATATGGTTTTTATCTGTATAGATAATAAAGCAAGGAAAATCAGAAATAGGGTCACAAAACCAGAGGGTTACAACTAGGGTTTTTCTTAGATCACCTGATTAAACTACCTTCCCCTTTAATACAAGAGAATTCATATCCAAGGATGTGAGTGGTAAAGCACTTGCCTAGCATGCACAAGACCCTGAGTTGGATCCCCAGCACCACAAAAACAAAAGGGGAAAAAAAAAAAACCACAAAAAACTCCCAAATTTTATGTTAATGTGACCTGCCTAAAGTCACTGTAGGGGTAAAGCCTGGACCCACAGCTTTTTTTCCCCACTACCTTGCTCTATCTCCCTAAAGAAAATGGATTTAGGGCTGGGGATGTGGCTCAAGCGGTAACGCGCTTGCCTGGCATGCGTGTGGCCCGGGTTCGATCCTCAGCATCACATACCAACAAAGATGTTGTGTCTGCCGAGAACTAAAAAATAAATATTAAAAAATTCTCTCTCTCTCCTCTCTCACTCTCTCTTTTAAAAAAAAATGGATTTAGATGGGTGTGACAGTGCATAACTGTAATCCCAGCAAGTTCGAAGCCAGCCTGGACAACTCAGTGAGATCCTGTCTCAAAAATAAAATTTAAAAAGGGGCTGTGGATCTGCAGCTTACTTTTACCTAGTAGCATGCATGAGGCCCTGGGTTCAATCCCCACTATGGGCAGGGTTGAGAAATCTATCAAACAGAGCTAGGGTTAGGGATAGGGTTAAGGTTAAGAATCAGGATAGAGTTAAGGTTAGGTTTAGGTTTAGGTCATGAGTTAGTGTTAGTGTAGTTTAAGTTTAAGGGTTAGGGATTGAGCTAGTGTTTGGACTAATAAATAAATTGATTACTGCCTCTTTAAGAGCTGGTAGCTTAAGCAGAATCTCTCTACTAAGGCCTGAGAGGCAGTTCTCTCCCTGGTACTGGGCAGGGGTCTATAGGCTACAGTTCCAGTTATGACCATGGGGCTCCTGCCCTGTTCCCAACAAAAAACAAAATGAATGTCTTCTGTTGCCATTTTAATCTCTTACTAGAGGGATCAAAATATGGCTAAACAGGAAGCAACAGGACTGACTAATTTCCAAAACAATGCTTTGGCAGGCTCTAGAGGACGGAAGAGGTAGGTGCATCAAGGTCCTACCAAGTCAAGGAGTGAGTCAGGCTATTGGTTATGTTATAGAGCATCCCACTCACTGTACAGATAACTGTGTCCTTTTCTGGTGAAATGTCCTATTACATGACAAATGGGAAGACTTTCACTATCACACAAGAATCCCAATGAAGACACACAAAATCCACTGGATCAAACTAAAGACCAGTGCGCTGAATGGGATTAATTTTATATCATCCTTCCTCTCAGAGTCTCTCCAAAGCAAGAGATTACAAATAAGCACACCATATTATCAGAATCCCAGCACAACCTGTCTCTTATCACAGAGTAATCTGGCAAAGGGTATATCTTAGTGTCATGAGTGGGTTGTCACTCCCCACTCCTACATCTCTAGACAGTTCTCTTGTCCATTACCTACATCTCATTTGAACACATGAGCCAAGCGGCTCACCCCACTGCTCACCTTCAGACAGTGGCAAATGACAACTTCTGGACTCTGAGAAATGATATGTTTGATGGAGAGATTATTGTACTTTCAAATAAAACCCAAGTTCAGACCCCTGGGAAAAATAAAAAGGAAACAAAACACAATGGACCTCATACATGTTTCATATACATATTTATATATATTTCATGTACAAAGTTACATTCCGAACCCCAGGGATTCCATAATAGAAATAAATACTGAAATAACTACATTGCTAAGTGAGCTTTTTGCTCTTAGAAACAAAGCCTCAGCCTCTAAAACAGTCAAGTGGGACACTCCAGAATCCCACTTTATGGAGGCAAGTAAAATTCTGGATAAGATGTCTAGAACAAAAAACAAATTTAGAACATAAATTGTTAAAATATATTCAAATATTGAGAAATGCAGGACAAAATTAATAATAAAACTTAATTATTTAAGAAAAAGACATTTAGTGTTACAGAAGAGCATAACCCTGTTAGAAAAGCATTGATGACTTCCACATTTCATCTTCTCTCCTCCTCTTCCCCTGTCACAAAGTGAGACCAAGTAAGTCACTTTCTCAACATGATCAATTAAGAAGAGCCCTACTGGCAATGCAGCATGGTGGTAGAGCACTTGCCCAGCATGCACAAGGCCCTGGATTCCAACCCCAGCACCATGGGGTGGAAAAATAGGGCAAAGAAAAGCCCTAACTCTGGTTGAGTCCTTTGATAAAGGTCATAATACTCACAAGAAAATATTCAGTTCCACAGCATTTCCAAGACACACATCCTTTAGGACAATTAATATTATGAGATGTTTTATTACTAAGGCAGCCTATGTCAAGAGTTCTCTTCTCAAATGCAGGAATGAACAATATTGCAACTGAGAATCTTTTTTTTTTTGTATTGGGGATTGAACACAGGGGTGCTTAACCATTAAGCTAGATCCTCAGCCTCCCCCCCTTTTTTTCATTGAGACAAGATCTCATTAAGTTTCTTAGGGCCTTGTTAAATTGCCTAGCCTCAACCTTGCAATCCTCTGGTATCAGCCTCCTGAGTCACTAGGACTACAGGCATGCGCCACCATGCCTGGCTCAAGAGAATGTATTTTAGCCTTTCTTTTTCTTGTTTTGCGGTATTAGAAACTGAACTCAGGAGTGCTCTACCACTGAGCTATATCCCCAGTCCTTTTATTTTTCATTTTGAGACAGGGTTGTACTAAGTTGTTGAGGCTGCCCTCAAACTTATGATCCTCCCGCTTCAACTTCCTATGTAGCTGTGACTACAGGTGTACACCACTGAGCCTGGCTTTCTACATAAACACACTTCATCTGGAAAGTCACATGCTGAATATTCTGTGCTAAAATGTTTTACACTCTCAACAAGTTGCAATTTTTAAGAGACTGATTCCTATTTTAACAATTTAGATCCATACAAATTACAGAAAAATACTCTCAAAACTGAGTCCATAGAAAATATTCTCCCTTTGCCTCACGGAGATTTTAACTTAGACTTAATAAGTATTAGATCGGGGCATACAGTGATGCCATTTCTATAGATCAGCTATGGCTGAACAATGATAATTTCATATGATTCAATTTCTTCTTTTTTTTTGACAATTTTTTAATATTTATTTTTTAGTTTTCGGTGGACACAACAACTTTATTTTATTTTTATGTGGTGCTGAGGATCGAACCCAGCACCCCGCGCATGCCAGACAAGCACGCTACCGCTTGAGCCACATCCCCAGTCCTCTTCTTCTTTTTTTTTTTAATATTTATTTTTTAAAAGTAGTTGGATACAATACCTTTGTTTTATTTTTATGTGGTGCTAAGGATCGAACCTAGGGCCTCGCATATGCTAGACGATCGCTCTACCGCTGAGCCACAATCCAAGTCCCTTATATGATTCAATTTCATACATAACCCAATGTAACAAAATGAGAATCCTTAGTACCCCTGATTTCTTCCAATAGGGGCAAATTTTCTATGTGGAGAGACCAACCCAAGGCACTCAATCCTTGTCCGTCTGGATTTGGGAGCTATAGCCCTCTATTGCTTTTGAGAAGCTTACATTTGGGCAGTTCTTCAAAAGACTACCACCTTGATCAAAGTAGACATTACAAGAATATAAACCTATTATTGGGGGAAAGAGGAAGGAAAGTAATCTATAGAAAGTGTTTAACTGAAATTACAAATATACGCACAAGTCTTTAAAAAACAAATTATACAGGCATTTTTGTCCTTTTTGGTCCCTGAAATTAATTAACAGGGCCACAGACAATCTGATATCTTTAGGTAAAATGATTACGCACCTATATTCCTTAAGTCAGAGCTGGTAAGTTTAAAAGAGCATTTACAACCACGTTTGCACAGTTCATTGTTAATTCCTGATTTCCTAAGTTATATCAATCATACAAATGTGTGAAAGGCTTCTGAACAAGTGGGGCATCTGACTCTGGGATGTTTACCTCTTGGGATTAAAATTCCCAACACTTTGGTGTCTCTATGAATTTATACAACATTCCTAACAAAGGTTTAATAATGCTTTTTTAGGAATTGCCAAAAGTGGCTAAGATTTTTACACATAGCAAACAAGCTATGGAAAAGTGGCCTAAATTTTGTTTCCTTAAGTGACTAAGCTCAAGCAAAAAATTATCTGTTACATACAGCTTTTATTAAAATAGGTTTTTCTTCTAAAACATACACAGCCACAGTTTTATTGTGTATACAGTGTGCTTATAGACACATGTGGCCAAATAGATCCAAAGGTCTTCCAAAGCTCAGTAAATCCCACGTATTTTATGTCCTAGCCAGATCATGTATATGCGTTAAAGTCACTGGTATACTTTTTACAGATATCTTTGTGTAATAGTTCAGAAGAAAAAAAAAAGACAAAAAAACCCCTGGTACCTAAGAATGCTTCGACAATTGGAGACCTGTGTTTGCTTTCTTTTCTTTGAAGTCCTTACAATGATGGGGGAACATTTTTCCCGTAAGTTTGTATTTTTTTTTTTTTTTTTAGTTGTAGATGGACACAATACCTTTATTTTTTATGTGGTGCTGAGGCTCAAACCCAGTGCCTCACACATGCTAGGCAAGTGCTCTACTACTGAGCCTCAGCCCTAGCCCCAATAGGTTTGCATTTTTAAAATAGCATAAAATTATATTTAACTTTGCCTAGAGTAACAATAAGAAGCTTGAGAGGAAAAAACCTAAAGCATCATGGTTTTAAAAAACTTACTAAGGGAAAAAAATCAATTAAATATAGATTCTAATCTATTTTTTAAATGGACACTGTTAATTGAAAAGATGTAATTATCAGCCTTGACTTTATATATATATATATATGGTATATCAGCTTTGTCTTCTTCCCCTTCATAGTTTTCCTTTTTGAAGATAGTATTTTGAGCTTAGAAGGGCGCAAAAGCTTAAACATGTTACTTACATCCAAAATACCAAGTATTTAGTAGTTTTACACAGAAAAAAGAAAACAACCCTCCTGGTCAAATGTCTCATTCAATGGGCTAGTGATGTAGCTCAGTGGTAAGCATACTTGACTGGCATGCACGAGGCCCTAGTTTGGTCCTCAGGAACACACACACATATACACACAAAATCCTCACTTAATTGGTGAGGACAGACTCCATCACCCTCCATCACGACTTCACTTTTATTTCTAACAGGTCAGAGCAGCCCAGGAACATGTGGCAAATAGGTGATATTTTATACGGAAAAAAACCCCGAATTAACCACCACCATCTCTGGTACGATGAATACAAAACACACGGCTAAAGCTTCTTCTAAGCTTTATAAAATTATAAACTTCTCAAACGTGTCAGTTTGAAAACAAGAGAAACTAGTCTCAAAAAAAAAAAAAATCAGGATATTCAGAGAAGCAGGTCTCATAAACTTTAGAGCTCTAATAAGTCAGAAACAGGAAACTTTTATTTAAATAGTGTAGTCTTAATTTCTTTAATATAAAACCCCCTGAAAATCTGATGAAAACAAAGTTTTATATACCATATAAACAAGATTTGTCAGACTTGAAAAGTGAAAGTTAATTTACAGTTAGCTTTTAGCCTTCTTGGGACAGTTAGACAAATCCTGACACTCCATCTGATAGTAGTGTGTGTCAATTTTATATACACCAGGGAAAACTCTGTTATAGTACTTAATGGTACAGTTTCATTTATCAAGTGTTTTCCAATAATTCCATTATTAGTGACAGCTAAAAAGTGACCCCATCAAATGAAGTGAGTGACATTAGACTGTGGCAGAAAAAAACCACATCTGGATTGCTTTCTGTAATTCACCAGTTTGAAGAAAGTAATTCTTTGATTTGTTCATAATATACTGAAATTGCCTATAACACTGGTGCAGTAAAACAGCTAGTTCCTCTGTATTGTTACGGCAAGACAGATTTTTGTAATATAAAGTTAACAGGAAAAAATGCTCACATATTATGTGGTGAAACTTATTTCACCAAAAAAAAAAAAAAAAAGCATTAAATAAAGGGGAAAAGGAAAAATAAACCATGCAGAAGAGACATGTCCCTATCTCCACCTGTATCCTATGGGCTCACTCACTGCCATACATCACTTGCCATACTATCAAGTGACTTCTTTCTGCTTTGGTGACAGATGGTTCAAGTGGAAGATCTTCTCCAAGAAGTTCTGATTCTCCACCTTCATCACCTAGTGGATGATAAGGAGACTCAAGTTAGATTAACATGGGAAATATAGAACTATGTGAATTACATAATGCTCATGGTTAGTCTATGCATAGATGCACAAAACTTGTCTGACTTCCACTGCAGAAAAACAGTAAAAGAAATACCATAAGTCAGAATCTTCACCCACTCATGCAAATCATTACAGAGCTTTGAAAAGGTTTATTCATTTTCCCCTATACTTATAAAAACGAGCTCACCATAGTATGTTGGTAAGATATTGCAATACATCTGCACACTGATGTTAACAGAAAAGGGAAGCTAAGACAACAAAGCTGTCCAAATCTGTGTTCATCCAAAATGGACAGCTGGGGCTGGAGATACAGTTCACCAGAAGAGTGTTTGCCCTAAGTTTGATCCTCAGAAGGCTGAGCCAGCCTCAAAGTGATGTGCTAAGCAACTCAGTGAGACCCTGTCTCTAAATGAAATAAATACAAAATAGGGCTGGGGACGTGGCTCAGTGGAAGTGCCCGAGTTCAATCCCCAGTACCAATAACAACAAAATAAAAGAATTGAGATTAAATAATGCTATAAGTGTGCACAAAGAGACAGAGCACACAAACTAACTAAATCCCAAATCCAAACAGCTTATTAAATCAAGTGACAGAAGAAAAGTTCTTCAACTGAAGACAACCGATAAAAGCATGTAGAAATTAAAAGTCTCCTTGAAAGACAGCAAATTCATCACCTGCTATACTAGGCTTTTCTTCCTATGATTTTCAGGTTTAGGACAGGTGATGAATTAACAGCATATGGTAAAGATTGAGAAACAAAAAGGTTGGGGCAGTACGGAGGCCACAGGTCCTCTGCAAGGTGGCTAAGTGAATGTGGTGAATGAGGTAGTGGGCGCACTCACTCCTCTCCATAAGCTCACATCAGTTAATTTTTGTACAGAGCAGGGTTATTCTGACACAACCTAGTGACAACTTGTCTGGTGGGATGAATTCTTCAGCAAAATCCTAAAATTATGCATACCAAAGAACAAGATATTCTACTGATATTCTAAAATTTTCTAATGTGACCACCTGAATTTCAGCTACACAAAAGAAAATATAGAACAGAAAATAGAAATAGTGTAAGAGAAACAATCTTGATTATTTGCATCTTTCTTTGCAGGCCACTCCCTCCCTTATCCACTCCACTAATTTCTGCCCTTGTCCCACAAGAATGCCAAATCACAGAGATAAAATTCATTTTCTGAACTAAAAAAATCAACATGATTTTAGAATGTGAAAAAAAAATTAGGCTTGGCTCTTAATAGCTGTTGAGACAAAAAGTTGTTGGTACTTGTTTTCTGAGTTGTTTTGAAGATTCTATTTTATCCTGTTTCCAACAGTCTCTACATACTACAATTCAAGATACAACATTAAAAAAAATAAAGAACCTATGGAGATCTGTTTGTCATTGTTAAAATATTGCAGGAAATAAAAAAGGAAACAGACCAACAACAAAAAAATCAATTTTTTTCAATATGACCCAAAATTTATTTATCAAAGTTAAAATACTTTTAAGTGTATATAAAATTGTAAAATAACTGATGCATTTTTCAATAAAGATATCCAACATAAAATGTAATAACAGAAGAAAACAAAGGATTCATCACTTTTGCTCCTATTTAAAGTCACCTTAGTGATCCATACATCATGAAATCGACAGTTATACATCTAGGAAATTTACCAAAAGAGCTCTCTTCTACTGGTGTGTATATTTTAATTTGTTCATGTGGGCATCTCTCCCATTTTGGTGACTGGCTAGAACAGCAATCTGTATCATGAATGTTTGAGTTGGCTTCTTATGATTATCAGTTAAGGGAACATGAATCCAGCCACTTGGTTCTACCAATTCAAGTTGCTGAACTGGATGTTCACTAAATGAGGCTGGGACCCATCTGATTGCCAGTATGTTTCTAGATTGACATCTCGTAACTGATCCACTCCAAATCCTAGTTTGCAAGGTGAGAGTGACTAAACAGCTTGTGACCCAATTTACCTTACTGTTCCAGTCCTTTCCAATTAATTGCTTAGGATCTGCACCAGGAGGTGTTTGTTTGGTCATTTTCTAAATATTACCTTCCAGACTTGGTTTGCCACAACTGAGGGTCTCAGGAATGGCGAGAGATCCACATCCCCCTCCCCACTTCACTTCTACGACAGCCTGGCTTCCCCAATGATGACTTAGAATGGGGATCATAGCCCTTCCTTCCAATTTTTTTTAATTCACTACAAAAATTAATTTATAAGCCAGGTGTGTGGCACAGCCTGTAATCCCAGCATCTTCAGAGGATGAGACAGGAGGATTTCGAATTCAAAGCCAGCCTCAGCAACAGTGAGGCCCTAAGCAACTTAGTGAGACTCTGTCTCTAAATAAAATACAAAATAGAGCTGGGGATGTGGCTTAGTGGTTGATGTCCCTGGGTTTAAATCCTGGCTCCCCCCAAATTTAATTTTATAACAGGGTACAGTGGTTCGTGCCTATAAACCCAGCAACTCAGGAGGCTGAGGCAGGGAGATTATGAGTTCAAAGCCAGCCTCAGCAATTTATTGAGGCCCTAAGCAACTCAGTGAGATCCTGTCTCTAAACAAAACACCAAAAAGAGTGAGGATGTGGCTCAGTGTTGAGTGCCCCTGAGTTCCAATACCTGGTAAAAAAAAAACGACAACAACAACAAAAAACACAATTAATTTATACTTAAAGACAAGTTTATTTTTCAGGCTGGATTACTAGAGATATTGCCAAATCTAGTTAAGCAATTTTTATGCTAGTCTCAGGAGCTACAATGGAAGGAATTTAGTAGAAATAGAAAAACTACAGAGATTTTACTAACATATTCTTTTTTTTTTTTTTCGTACTGTGGATTGAACTCTGGGGAGCTTTTACCACTGAGCTACATCCCCAGTTCTCTTTAATTTTTATTTTAAAACAGTGTCTCACTGAGTTACTTAGGGCCTTTGCTAAATTGCTGAGGCTTGCCTTAACTTGTGAGTCATCGGGATTACAGGAGTGTGCCATCTTGTCAGGCTCTACCATATTCATCGTATGGTTCCAAGTGCCTGCTGTATTCCAAGAAAAATCTACAGAGATCATCCCAGCCAAGTGGAGTCCTTACAATTACTTTCTATAAAGAAATGCTGCACTACTAATTATTTAAAACATTTTGAAACTAATCCATTCCTGGCGATATTAACAGGATCAAATCAATTTCTAAGCATTACTTCTTTTTCCTTAAAATTATGTCTAGAAGTCTCTTGTATTAGATATTCTGTAAAATCTCTTGCATTAGATTTTACACTAGTTGCATATGGCACACTGTAATTTAAATGACTTTAAATTTTTACAGAATTCTTATCTAAAATAATAATCTATCACTGATTTATATTTTTATATTCTTTAAAAATCATTCAATACTTTATGTTTGGAAGCTTTTCAAATCACTGAGATTTTTAGGTTAGTCTATTTATAGCTGGTAAATTCACATTGGCATGTTGCTTTACAGTTTACTAAGCACTACTCTTTTCCTCTGGATTTGCTGCCTCTGTTTGGAGTTCTGAGTGAATGGATCATTCTCTTTTGCCACATCCCATTAGGTAACAATTCTTTATCATGCTGCTTCTGTATTCCCACTGTCCCTACCTCACTCAGGTATTCATTTTTTTCTAACTCACTTCCCTCTCTTTACAAAAAAATTTTTTTTAGTTGTAAATGGACATAATATCTTTACTCATCTCTATGTGATGCTGAGGATCAAACCCAGTATCCTTACACGTGCAAGGCAAGTGCTCTACCAATGAGCTACGGCCCCAATCCTGCACTTCTCTTTAGTCTTGAACCTTCAATCCACCTTCCACACAGATCTAATCACATTGCACCTCTATTTAAAGACCTCTAGCAATACTCCTTTTCTTGAAAGATAAAGTGAAAATCTGGTAAATAAAGGCCTCTCATAATCCAGTTCCTCCCTCACTTTTTAGACTAGAAATTCACACTTCTTTTCTACTCCATGTTCCTGTCATTTAAAAATGTTTTTTTCTTCAGCTAAAATGGTTTTGCCTCTCTAAATTTTGGTCAAGACATTCTCTTACCTCAGAATGCCAATCCTCAGCCTTCCCCAGTCCATTTCCAACCTGATCTTTTAGACTAACACTATTCAGTGATGAGTCACTTCAAGCACCATTTCTTGACTTCCTTCTCTCCCCACCCATGGGAAGAACTGACTACTCTTTCTTTACCAGAGCATTTATAACATATTAATACTGACATGTCCTCAGCCTGTATTGTTCTATAAGCTATTAGAAGGAGGCTTTATCTGACTTGTTTCCACATCTCAAAGTTAAGTCTAACATAGTAGATGCTCAATTAATATACAAAAGAAAACAACAGGTGAAATCACTTTTGATATGAGTGCTGCTTTATAAGTATTTTTATTTTCTTCATTTTGCAGGTGAGAAAACTATAGTAGAATGATTTGCCCTGGGTCTTTAGATTCCAGGTCTTCACATGAAACTTAATGACCACTTCTTGCTATTTCTCATATTCCTTTGAACAATACACTTGGGCATGAAAAGAAATGTGTGTGTATGTACATATACATACATACAGAGAGGCAGAAAGAAGGCAAAAAAGAAATATACAATCCTTCTTCAAGCGAAGAATTTAAAGAGAATATCTTAGAAATCATTATCAGAGTGGTTTCTATTTACTATGGCTGAAAGTCCACATTGCAGAACACTGTGGAAACTGAGCCCCCAGAACCAAAGACTTACCCATCCGGAAGTCAATGTAGCCCTCTCCTCCACTGATGACAAGCATAGACTTCAAGGGTGTCTGGCTGCTGGATTCCGGTGCAGATGGTCCTGCTTTATCACTTGTTAAATCTGTGCCACTACTGCCACTTTGTGGGCTAATGACTTGACCTATTTTACACAGGAGCAGAAGTATATATTACTTATATCACAGACGAGGACAGGGCATAGTATTTTATTCTTTCTCTCTGAATTTTTTTAGAGTTAAACAAACTGGCAAATACATGCTCAGTACAAAGTACTGGGGATACTATAAAGTTCTGCATGATCAGAAAACAATGATTAGAAAGTCATAAGATCTCAATCTGAAAATCTTTAAAAAAAATTTTTTTTGTAGTTATAGATGGACAGAATGTCTTTATTTGTTTATTTTTATGTGGTATTGAGCATGGAACCCAGTGCCTCACACATGCTAGGCAAGCACTCTGCCAATGAGCCACAACCCCAGCCATTCAATCTTTCAATCTGAAGCAGAAATAGATCCAAAATCAGTGTAGGATATGTATGGCAAGGCAGGTCTTAGCTGCCTGTTTTCAAATTATTACAATCTCTACCTTCTGGTTTGAGGGACAGTAGAAAGGTCTCTCTCCTGAAAGGAAATGTTTGCATTTGTTTATGAGACAGAATAATCTTCAACTGAAGCCTTACTGATTTGCATATTTAAATTAATATTTAAATTTATTTCAAATTCATGGCCTTCCTTTCATAGTATATCTTATTTTTAGTTTAGAGTATATAGATAAAATTGCTAATTGCTCCATTTGTTCTAAAGCTTTAGTTCTACAGTAAAACCCATGATCATGAAATGATAGATAAAAACCTTTAAATGTTATTCACACTGTGAATAAATGAATAGTCTCCAAGGCATCCCTTTTAGAAAGTTTTGACTATATACTTTTTTTCTTTCCAGAACCTGCTGTCTTTTGGTCAAACTACCCCGACCATGACTCCAGAAGCTAGCAGGACATTGTTATATGACATGATATACTCTAAATTAAAAAATTAATTTATCTTAAAAAAGTGTATAGGACAAGCCAGGTGCAGTGGCACATGTTTGTAATTCCAGCAGCTCAAGAGGCTGAGATAGGAGGATCGCAAGTTCAAAGCCAGCCTCAGCAACAGCAAAGCGCTGAACAACTCAGTGAGACCCTGTCTCTAAATAAAATACAAAATAGGGAGGGATATGTGGCTCAGTGGTGGTCAAGTGCCCCGGAGTTCAATCCCCATTAACCACCCCCCAAAAAAGAATGTGGATAGGACAGTATGATGTATCCCTACAGGGCTTCATTAAGATCTGATTTAAGCATTTTCTAGAAGAAATCAAGCTTATTAGAAATAACTTATATTAGTAGACTAGTTAGTTCTGCTTCAGAAGCAAGGACATGAAAGTATGACAAGGATAAACACGATGGTTGGGGCTGTGGTTGTAGTGCCACACATGTGAGGCACTAGGTTTGATCCTCAGTACCACATAAAAAAATAAACAAAAACAAAACAATGGTATGATAAGGATAACCAAAATTCTTTAATTTTTAGGGCCAACTGGCTTCACATGTACACGTATATGTACACACACACACACAAACACACATACACACAAATGTTGCCAATTCTACTTTTAAATTTATACCCAATAGAAAAGTCTTATACATATGCATAAGAAGGACCATCATTTTTTTTAGATGTCTTTTTTTGGATTGAACCCAGGGGGTACTTTGTCACAGACCTTTCTATTTTTTATTTTGAGACAGGGTCTCACTAAGTTGCTTAGGGCCTCTTGCTAAATTGCCGAGACTGATCTTGAACTTGTGATTCTCCTGCCTCAGCCTCACAAGCTGCTGGTATTATAGAAGTGTGCCACAATGCCTGGCAGTATTTATTTACCTTTTAATGGTATTATGATTTTGGTTTGTATTTTTTGGGGGGTTCGGGACCACTTGACCAATTTTGTATTTTATTTAGAGACAGGATATCACTGAGTTGCTTAGCGCCTCGCTATTGCTGAGGCTGGCTTTGAACTCACAATCCTCCTGTCTCAGCTTCCCCAGCTGCTGGGATTACAGGTGTATGTCACCGCTCCCACAATGGTATTGTTTTTAAATGGGAACAGAAACCTAGCAGCTCATCAATTGGAGAATGAATAAAACCAAACACATTTATTTAGACATGCAAATATTATGATTATGTAAATAAACTTGATTTTTATGCAAAAACATGGACTTTTATATTTTCTAATAAAAAAGAAAAAAAAAGAGAGAAAATTCTGTTAGTTGCCTATACACGTATATACATTCTATGTACATGCCTATGATCACAGCCACTTGGGAGGTTGAGGCAGGAGGATCCCAAGTCTTGAGGCCAGACTGGACAACTTAGCAAAACTCTGTCTCAAAATAAAATTATATATATATATATTATATATATTTCAGTGGTAGTGCTTGTCTAGTATGTGCCAGGCCCCAGGTATCAAGTACCACAAAAACACAGAAAAATCTAAAACACCATTATCACAATGTTCATTCTAGGAATTTATCCTAAGAAAATGACTGAGGCTAGCTTTGAACTTGTAAATGTACAAATGAGGTTTCAGGAGGTTCATTATCATGTGAAGAATAATTGAACAACTGGTTGGACAACCATATGCCAGCTCTTGTCTTGTGTACATTTAATCACTTAGTCTTTGGAACATCCTTGGGACATGTTAATTTTATGCGTCATCTTGGCTAGATCACTGAGTCTAGATACCTGGTCAAACACCAGATATTGCCGTGACAGTATTTTAAAGATATGCTTAATGTTTAAAGTAAAGCCCTTCATTATGTAGGTGGTCTCACCTAATCAGTGAAAGACTTAAAAGAAAAATACTGAGGGTCCCTGACTGGTTTCAGATTTAGATGCAACATCAACTCCTCTCTGGGTCTCTAACCTGCTGGCCTGCCCTACAGATTTCAAATTTGCCAGCCACATGAGCCATTTCCTTAAAAACTCTCCACATACCCCCAACTCTCCACACATGTTGGTTTTCTTTCTCTGGAGAACAGTGACAAAAACACAAAAACACTATCATTTCTACGTTACGCAAAGTCAGATTTGAACTTTTTTTGGTATAGGGAATTGAAACCAGAGTGCTTTACCCTGAATTATATCCCCATACCTTTTAACTTTTAATTTTAAGATAGGACATCACTAAATTGCTGAGGTTGGCCTTGAGTATGCAATCCTTTCCACGTTTCTAAGATTACAAACCCGTGCCACTGCATCCTGGCTCAAATTTGAATTATATCTAACTCCTAAACTTCCCTTTTAGGAGAAAAAAAGTTAAAAACATGGGTGAGTAACATCATTTTTAGTATTCTGAGGTACTTAAAAATGGACATAACTTTTTTCCCCCCCGAATATCACTACTACCATGTTGTCTGAATTTTACAAATTCAAATGGAATTTTCACAAAAAAAGGAAGTGGGTAGGCATCCATTCAGGAGACAAGGAAACAACTATCAGAGGTTTAAGTGACTTGCTCAAGGTGAGTGACGGAGAAAGAGAACCCACATTCCCAGGCAACTAGCTCATCCTTAATACAACACTGCTAAAGGTGCCAGAACACATTCCCCATTTCTTCTTGCATGTGGTCTGGATGACAAGAGGCTAGTGATCTCCTTCATAAGTCAAGACTATCTTTGGCAGATTACCCTTGCTTTTCAAAAGTAAGCAAGTATCTTAAATAAAAACCAAGGAATTTGGTTTTGGAGGGTGGGGAGAGATTGCAAAACAACTTCATTCAAGTATCCTATAGTACTTTTATCATACTCCATCATAGAACTTCTTTCATGTGTTATATTGAAATTGCCTGTAATTCTAGTACTTAGCTTTAGACTAGGTGGTGGAACCAAGAGACCTAAAAGCAACATCTCAATGGAATAATCTAACTTACCTGGGACTGCCACAAAGAATTTCACAGCATCCCGGTGTCCATGGAAGCAAAGCTGTGCATGTGCCATTGAACAATAGGGTATAAATGTTCCTGGAGTTACTTTATCACTGTTTTCATCACCATATACACGGATTACACTGCCAGGACGATTTCCTGTTGCTCCTGAGGTTTTATTTGCTGCAATTAAAAAAAAAAAATCAAATGCCAACTATTTTTTCCTAGGAGACAGTAATAATGCAAGAGGTTACTGGTTAATCCTTATGATATTATCTAAAAGCTACAGCCAGTTGAGGTAAAACAAGGGCAGCAACGCCAATTCAAGGCAAAGCTGGAAAAAAGAGATACATAGCATGCTAGTTATTTTTAAGTACCTCAGTAAATGGAGTAGGGGATTTTGCCAGTCTAGCAACTAAACTTATGTTTTAAACACATCAATTGATTTTTTAAAAAATCAGTTTAATTATCCAAAGAAAATGGATTTGATTCTTAGGTGTATCTGTTTTTTTTTTTTAAAGTCCTCATTAAAGGAATCTAACTACTATGTAGTCTAATAGTTTTTCTTCTTATTTTTCTCCCCCCCCCCCGTAAGAGTATGTCCCTTGAGAGGGATGGGAAATGCTATTTAATAGAATCCAGCCACAACCACAGAGTAGCTTCACTTACATCAGACTAATGGTTTGCTGGGTTACTACAGAACAACCAGACTCACAAAACATCCCCATTCCACCAGTAAGTAAATGAAAGAAACATGGTTGGTAACAAGAGTAAACAATGTAGATTAATAATAGTTTTAAGACATGTTTCATGTTTTTATCGGAAGGAAAAACAAAGTCTGAAAGAAAGTTCAGCTGCAACAAAAGATGATAAATACACTAAGCTGCTGAGCAGTTGGTGGCCATGTAACAAACGTTAAAAAAAAAAAGTCTGCTGCAAGGCAGTGACTGCGAGTGGGTGACATTGAAGAACATTCAAAAGGGTTTCTAGAAGAGGGAACAGCCTCACAGTGGCTGAGAAGCCAGAAAGAAGAGTTTGGTTCAGGATCTGCACTTACCCCTCAGCCCCAGTAAACGTCCCTGGTGGAGGATTACGGCTAAAGTGAGAAAGGAGGAAAGGGGACATGGAGAGGCGCATGACAGGGAGGAGAGGCATTACTGTGAGCCATCACTCTGAGCATCTTCTATCTGGTCCCCAACAAAATTAATAATATCCAACTTGGCATAATACCAAGTAACAAAGTTCTCACCAATGCCTCTACAGAACATCTCTGCTCAAAAAACACAATTTGATTTACTATGATTTTGATTTCTTTAATCATAAAGCCACTTTTGTATATCCAAATAAAAATCCAAGAGCTTGATGTGAAATATTTCCTAAACTGCTAAAATTTCCCCTTTATTTTTTCTTCTCTTCTGTGTATTTTCAAAAGAAACTAATTTAAATATATTAAAATGCAACTCCCATGAAGAATTGGAATGAAACAAGGATCCTGGACTATTTAGGATATGAAAAGCAATATGAATACGTAGACTTGTAAGTCACTGAAGAAGATACACTTGGGATCAAGAACGTGAGTTCTTTCAAGGCTCCAAATTCTCCTTCTAGTCCTCTTTCCTCCCCTTTCCCTAAGAAAGGGTAGGGTGACTGTAACTCTGAGGTCTGTATTTATTAACTTATGGTATTTTTTTCCCCCAAACCATTCCCTGCTCATGAATTCTGCAACACAAAAACACTTAATGCATGACTGATGTAATGGAACATCACATGAGAAAAACACAAGGCACACTTTGCTCACAAAAATAATAAATCAAATTATTTTCAAGCAGATTTTTTTTTTTTTTTTTTTTGGTACAAAGAAAGGCTTGCTGACCTCTTGAGGAACTTCTTCCACAACTTTTTTTAAGCCTCAAATACAAGAAATGGGACATGCTGGACTATTTACTGGCCTAGGAGATAGAAAACTATGACAAACAATAGGCAGTGTTCATGGATACTGGTATACTAAAACTGAAGAAAACTAGACTTAAACTTTTATTTCAAAAACAAAATAGGGCTGTGATTCCTGAAATGAGAAAAAGAGCTTCTTACAATGAAAAACTTAATTCTGAAACTGGTCCTGCTCTTCTCTCTCTAGAGTTTATACATTTCATACAAAGAGTGAAACATCAGCTTGATTTTCTGAGTTACTACTTATTTGACAATATCTAAACAATCCCTCTATCTGTGTGTTCTGGACATGATTATTTTCTACAATTCTCCTATTTGTCCTGTGACAGTTATCTAAAAATATACTTACTTTCTGTCAATGGGATGGAGATAATGACACCATTTCCTGTCCCCACCCACAAACGATTGCAAGACACCATAAGAGCTGTAATCCTCACAAAAGAGAAGCCCAATTTTCCAGTACCTGTAAGGGGGGTGGAAAGGAGTACATTTCACTGAGAAACCAAAGCAGACCAAGTTTTAGATTTCAAATCCCTTAGAACAGGTGGATTAATACAACAAAGGAAAAAAAAAAAAGTGACCAGAGCTAGATGAATGTTTGCTGAAGGTGCACATCAAAGCAAGCTCTTATTACCCTTATCACCAATCTGACAAGTCAGGGTTAATGGAAAAAGCAAATTCTAAAAGTATCTGGCATTATATTATCATCCAGAAGGAAGGTACGCAGGAAATAAGATATATCAGGAAATATGATACAGAATTTAATTAGGGAGCAACAAAAAAACAGTTTACTAGTTTGGGAGATAAAATGTCCTTCGGTTTTACAAGCTGAAAAATTTTGATTTGCTTTAAATTTGTGTGGATAAAAAACAATCTTTGCTAACAAAATTTACACTTTTTCCTTTGTTTATAAATTTAGATTCTAAAGTAGTTTAGATATATTAGGATATCATCTACAAATAATTTAGGGAGAAAGAATTTTTTTTTTATTTTAAAAGAATTTTATAATTATAATAATTTTATGTAATTGTATAACTTATTTTCAAAAGAAACTAATTTAAATACATTAAAATAAACTCCCATGAAGAATTGAAATAAAACCCAAGGATCCTTGGCTACTTTAGGATATGAAAAGCAATATGAATATGTAAACTTGTAAGTCACTGAAGAAAATATATGGTTATCAAAATGATTAAATAGATAATACACTGAAGACAAATACCATAAATCACTCATAAATTCTACTCATAAGAATTTGAGGGCCTGATCATAGAATCAGTGTAGAAAGGAACTTTTAATTCTGATTCAGCCTAAGCTAGGAATCTTTAACCTATAGTCAAAGTACACCTTTATAGTTAGAGTGTATGTTTCCACATGCCTGACTATAGGGCAAGGAAACACAGTTGAGTCATGTTCTCCTAGGCAATAATCTAAAAGGCTAAAATAAAAGCCACTGATCTGGTTCAAACTTTCTTCATGAAATAGTCCTTTATGATATTCCAAATAAAAATACAGCACTGGATTAGGTGCTAAAAATACAGCTGAGCACAAGACAGAGATGATTCCTGCCCTTTACGGGGGTTACAGTCTATGGAGAAAGATAGTAAACAATAACCATGTAATACCCATATAAGCACAATGATAAGCCTGTGAAGAAAAAAGATCTTTTCTGAATAGGACACAGGCTATGACCTGAAAGCTAAGTAAAAAGAGAGCAAGAAGAACTTGCTACAGCATATGTGAGGGTCCCAAATGGGAAAGCACTTGTTGAGCTGAGGGTCAATGTGAGCAAAAGAGAGTCTGAAAGGAAAATGGTCCAGACCATGTAAAGTCTTCTGCTTATGGGATAAAACGTCACCTCCCCTAAAGAGAAGAGTGGAGGAGTACCAAGGCAATTTTTGCATGCTGGTTTCTATGCAGAAAACAGACAGTGGAAACAGGGAGATCAGTTAGGAGGTACATGGTTATCACGTGGGGAACATGGTAGAGATAAAGAACTGATTTAAGGTCTATTTAGATTTGACAGAGTTCTTGGCGATGGACTGGAGGTAGAAAGCATGAGAGGAGTCAAAGACATTCTTAAGTTTTGGTCAAGAACCACAAGGTCAACTGGAACATCTGCTGAATACTTTCAATAATATGAATTCACCATTCCTGGGAAACTTATTCACTGGTCTACTTAGGTCATGTTTATAAATCAGGGTTGGGAATGTAGCTCATTTAAACATAAATCAGGTTGGGAATGTGCTTTCCCTAGCATGTGCAAGGCTCTGGGGTCAATCCCTAGCACTGCAATCAATCAGTCAGTCAGTCAGTCAATCAATAGGCTGAGGATGTAGCTCAGTAGTAGAACATTTGCCTATCATGCCCAGAGCCCTGGATTTGATCCCCAGCACCACAAATAAATAAATAAACCTTCTCTTTCATTGGCAAAGAGAAAATGCCATAGAAGCTTACCTAACATTTTGCTTACATAAGGCTCAATGTCCACATCCTGTAGATGTTGGTAAGTATGTGCATGATAGAGACGAAGTGTGGAATCCAAACGAATGGAGACCCACACACCGTCACCCACCCATGCAAGCTGCCGCACTTGGCTCTCCTTCCTGGGATGTGCATCAAATGATTTCTAGGAGAGATGTTCAGTCATAGTTACTTTGTTACATAGAAGGTCATGTTTAAAAACTCTGCTAATCTGGACAACAATTTGGAGACTATTCATTAAAAGAGGAGCCTAGGGGCTGGGGTTGTGGCTCAGTGGTAGAGCGCTCACCTAGCACATGCAAGGCCCTGGGTTCCATCTTCAGCATCACATAAAAATAAATAAAATAAAGGTATTTAAAAAAAAAGGGGAGCCTAGTTACCTTAATATGATTACCCTCATATACACAATTTCTTTCATCTTGAATGCAAAATACACATTTACATAAACAAATAAAATAAAAATTAAAAGGAGAATAAAGAATCATATGGCATTGAGCTTTAGCACTACAGACAACGTAACTTTATGAAAATAATGCTGGTATCTCCATACTGTGTGACAGTGTTCAACAGAAAAATTGTGACTCTCAGGATTTTGTGTTGCTATAGAATAATACATGAAGCAATATCCTATTTATAATTAAGCAAAAAGGAACCCACAATGTTGTATAAAAAATAGAGATGAAAAATAAATTACATTTTGGAACTTCCAGAAAGGGAATGGGATTTGGGGCTGGGAGGAGAAATTTCACCTTAAAAAAATTTTCCTGCTATAAATAGCTATTTAAAAAAAACTATTAATAATAAATTTATATATTGTGTCAAAAACATTTTAGGAAAGCAATAATAAGAGCCTTTTGTTTTTATAACAAATTCTCACTGTAATGCTATTTCTCAGTTTGTGATATACATGAGGATGTGCCTGGATTTACATGGAGTGGTGTGTGGAAACTTGGGAATCCTCTCAACCAATCCTTCCATAGTTAAACGATCATGCATCAAGTATTAAAATAAAACACACATACATCTATGGATATAAACACAGGCATATTTTAACATTCATGTGTGAATCTTCATTAAAAAACAACAAAACAAAAAACCCCACCCATTTCCCAACTTCATAGTCAAAAGAGCTGAAATATCACAGAAAGCTAAGACATCCAAAAATAATACTAATGTGTCCCTAAAACACATAGATTCGGAAAACAATCTCTATAGAAACTGACAAAAAAAAATAGTCTTCTAGTCTTTGGATAATACAAATTCACAAAGTACAAAAAAACAGGTTTAAACTTGCCTCTATTTTCATGGCCTTTGGCTGAACCACATAGATTTTGTTTCTGTAGCCACACCAGACTTTGTCGTGTACCACAGTCATACATCGTATGGAATGGTGAGGCCGTCCAAGGTCTAAGAGATGATAGTTTGATAAGTCCCACTGTCCGTCTTGAAGATAAGAAGAAATTTATAGTTAATAATGCATATTACCTCTGATTGATAAAGCACTCAAATTGTGTGCATTGAGTAAACCTTTTATCTTATCCATACACTGCAAAATTCAAAGCTATCTCAAAGGTCATTTAATCCAACCAGCCACTCAGTAGAGCCTCTTTAAAACATGTTTTCTGGTGGACGTGGTGGCACACATCTATAATTTTAGCTATCTGGGAGGCTGAGGCAGCAGGATTGCAAGTTCGAGGACAGCTGTGGAAACTCAGTGAGACTGTCTCAAAATAAAATAAAAGGGGTTGGGGATGTAGCTCAGTGGTAGAGTAATTGCCTACCATACATGAGGTCCTGGGTTCAACCCCCAGTATTACAAAAAAATTAAAGTCAATAAGCTGGGTGTGGTGGTGCATGCCTATAACCCCAGCAACCTGGGAGGCTGAAACAAGGGGATTACAAGTTTTAGTCCAGCCTCAGCAAGGCAAGAGAGATTCTGTCTCAAAATTAAGAAGGAGAAAAAAAAAAAAGCAAGGGATATAGCTCAGTGGCAGAATGCCCCTGGGTTCAATTTCCAGTACCAAAAAATAAATAAATAAAAGTAAATGCTTCCCAAAAGCAATGATGTGATAAAATTAGTTATAACTTGTTTATAATGATGTTTTTAGAATTAGAAGGAACTTTAAAACTAGTGTGTAGCTCAATGGTAGAGTGCTTGCCTTACAATCCCTAACACCAAAGACAGAGAGAGAAAAAGAGAGACAGAGACAGAGACAGAGACAGAGACAGATGGAGCACATGTGAAAACGAATTTAAGGTTGTTTTGGGGATAATATCTGATGGGCATCTTGATGTATTTTCCTGAATAGAAGATGAGGGCAATTCATTCTAATACTTTAGTAATTGTGAATATAGTATGAGCATTCTTAATCTGAAAATCTGAAATCCAAAATGTTCCAAAATCTAAAACTTTTTGATTGCCAACATGACTAGTATATAACCATTCATTGGTCTATAGTTATGCTTTTTTTTTTTAAGAGAGAGTGATAGAGGGAGAGAGAGAGAATTTTTTTTCTTAATATTTATTTTTTAGTTTTCAGTGGACACAACATCTTTATTTTATTTGTATGTGGTGCTGAGGATCGAACCCAGCTCCCCTCGCATGCCAGGCGAGGGCACTAGCCGCTTGAGCCACATCCCCAGCCCCGAGAGAGAATTTTTTTAACATTTATTTTTTAGTTATTGGCGGACACAACATCGTTGTTTGTATGTGGTGCTGAGTATTGAATCAGGGCCGCACGCACGCCAAAGGAGCACGCTACTGCTTGAGCCACATCCCCAGCCCCGGTCTATAGATTTGCCCAGCTAACAGAATCAATACAGTCCTAATTTCTTTGTTAAGCTCTGTCTTGTCTTTTCAACATCAAGCATGTTTTTCTTTTGGTACCAGGGATTGAACTCAGGGGCACTTGACCCCTGTACCACATCCCCAGTCCTATTTTGTATTTGATTTAGAGACAGGGTCCCACTGAGTTGCTTAGCACCTCACTTCTGCTGCTGGGGTGGCTTTGAACTTGGGATCCTCCTGCCTCAGCCTCCTAAGCCACTGGAATTATGGGTGTGCACCACTGCACCTGGCTCAACAAAGCATCTTTTGAATGACGTTTGTACCTATCACAGTTTACAGATCTTTATCTTAATTCTCCTGTGTTGATACCCATTGCATAAGTTATTTTGTCAAGCAAAGCAGGATCACCATAAGCACTCTTCTGTACATTTTATTTCTATGAGGTTTAAAATGTTAACTACCTCATATTGAGTTTATAGTTAATCTTCATGTAATTCTCACTTCAGACATGTCTTTCCCATCTTGCTCTTCTGATATCAAATGTAGGACTTTGTGCTGGTCCTTAACTAAATAAATGTATTTTATCTTATTCTATCAATATAATTTTAGATTCAGTTTATTCAAAATATTTATTATGTGATTATTTTCTAGGCTCTTTCACTTAACTAGTTGAGGGACCATGAACAAACAGGTGACTAAAATGCTCTGTACCTCAGTTTCCTAATCTATAAAACAAGGATAGCAATAGAATATTGTTCATAAGATGTTGTGAAGAATAAACAGAAAATTTCATAAAGGGCCTCTGAAATAAAATAGGACCCTATCTCTTTGATAACATGGAGTTATTAACCAGCAATATCTAGGTAATGTTCAGTTACAAAGGTACCTAAGTATCAGCTACCTAACATATCTCTAAGCTCAAAAAGATACATGAGATTTTGAGAAAGTGCTTTGATAAAACTCAAAAGCAGTGTATAATATTTCCCTGATCTACCACCCTACTGGCAATTTAGCAACTATGATTTTGGTTGACACATGTACAAAGGAGTGATAAAGTGATACGTACTCAATTCTCTTAATCTAACCCATTCAATATAAGTTTTCTGATACCATCTCCCCTTCACCTGAAGTGGCAAAAACAGTGGCTTTAAAGGGGAATATAACTGAGTATGATGGCACATGCCTATAATCCCAGTTACTTGGGAGGCCAAAGCAGTAGGATGGCAAGTTCAAGGCCAGCCTGGACAACTTAAAATAAAGAATGAAAAGGGTTGAGGATGTAGTTCAGTGGTAGAATATCCTTGAGGTTTCTCAGTATCAATCAATCAATCAATCAAATAAAATAAAACAGAAATATAAGATATAAAAATACTAAACCTTAAAAAAATAATTAATAAAAACTTAACAAATATATGCCAGGTGCAGTGGTGCAGGCCTGTAATTCCAGCTGCTAGGGAGGCTGAGGCAGGAGGATCCCGAGTTCAAAGCCAGCCTCAGCAAAAGTGAAGTACTGAGTAACTCAATGAGACCCTGTCTCTAAATAAAATACAAACTAGTGCTGGGGATGTGGCTCAGTGGTTGAGTGCTCCCGAGTTCAATCCCTGGTACCCCTCTTAAAAAAACAAATAACAACAACAAAATATATAAGTAGATGTATATCATAAATTTTAAGCAGGACAAATGAAAAAAATAATACTCACAAAACTTCTTTCTAGTAAATGTATAAATGCAAAACAAAAGCCTCCATATTTATTATATGAGTACCAGAAAATGCTAAACTACTTGCTCACTATGGTAAATATATTTTCCATGAGTCATACTGCTCATGCATATCTCCATGAAGGCATTTGTATTTACTGATGTTTATTAAGTATCATGTCTTTAAAATATTACTAGCTGCAAAGGGCATTGGCGTACACCTGTAGTCCCAGTGACTCAGGAGACTAAGAGAGGAGTATCACAAATTCAAGGCCAGCCTTGGCAATTTAGCAAAGCCCTAAGCAACTTAGGGAGACCCTGCATCAAAATAAAAAAGTTTATTTTTTTAAATTATAAAAGATAAAGCATATACATTATCTATTCATAACTCACCAACTCCTCTGTGAAAGATTGCAAGGGTGCCATCAGCCAGGGCCACTAACACAATTCCTTTCACGTGTCTGGAAACAGGAAAAGAGATTTCAGAATCTCTACTGAGGAAAAGCCACATGCCACTGCATTAGTGCTGAGCCTTTCAAAGCACCATTATATGACAAGATAAGGAGATTACACAGAACATAAAGGAACATACTTTTTCTTCTTTTTTTTTCAGTACTGGGGATTGAACCCAGGGATGCTCTATCACTGAACTAGATCCCCAGATCTTAGGTTTTATTTTGAGACAGGATCTTGCTAAGTGGCTTGGAACTTGCGATCCTCCTGCTTCGGGCTCCCAAGCCACTGGGATTACAAGCCTATACCACTATGTCCTGCCACACTGCTTTCTTCATTGTGAATGTCTTGCTATGCAACAATGTCGTCTGAACTAAATAAACGGCATGTGTGCTATCTCAGTTGTTTCACTTTCTGGGCAAACCTCTTTCTCTCACTGCAGATAGTCAAGATGATTCTATAAGCCAAAAAACACACTCTTTGAGTGGAACTAACAGATCACTCGACTGAGAGATAAACTGTCAGATCTTTGATAGCCAACATATAGAAAAGAACTAGCAAATTAATCCCCCAACATACATATTCACAAACTATAAGGAATACTGCAAACAAACAGAAATTAATAAGCACTGATTCTCTCCTGGAAATACTGAAGAACTCCCAGTATGGTGACAAATCAATCTGCCAAGTTAAGGTTTCCCTTCTACATAAAAGTTTTCTTTTTTATTTTCTATTATAGACTTTTTCACTCTAATTTCTCCTGTTTCAAAAAATGAGTTAAAACCAATCAACCAAACCTAGATACTGATTTATTCATGAAGTACCTATTAGATTGTATAATCTTAAAAATCTAGTTTATACCAAAATATGTAGTTTTTCAAGGAAGAATTTCAAAAATAAAACTTACACAATACTGAGAATCGAATCTTTAAGTTTAATGGAATGGAGGCATTTCCTCCACTGGGCTACAGATGAGTGGACATACAAACTGCAGAAACAAAGTGAAGACTGGTAAGGCATAGAAAATATTACATTGTTGCTTATTTCTAGTAGTGACCACAAAATTCAATCAAGAGGAAAGAAGAGGACCATACAGATTTGACATAAAGGTGCTGCTGCTTTTATGCAATAGTCAAAAAACAAAAATGAGAGTCAGGGTTAGCCTCAGAGAAATAGGCTGCTCAAGCAAAAAGAAACAACTGGAGTCTGAAAATCATTCAGACTAGTGTTTAATGTTGGAGTATCAATTAGCTTCAACTAACTTCAGCTTGCCCCACAAATTTTTAGCTAAAACCCCTGAATTATCTTAAACTGTCTGCTACTTTTAGGTGACAAGGTGATGCACATTAGGGACTGGCTAGCAGGTTTGATACAGGTTTGATACATTTGATACAGGTTTTCTGATATGATCACTCCTGGCCAAACCCAGCCTGCCACTTTAGTCCGAAAACTAAGAAGTTTTTCTTTTTTTAAATGGTTAGAGGAAAAATTAAGAGAATTTTGTGACATGTGAATTTCAAATGGAATTTAACTTTTAGTGTTCAAAACCTTCTATTAGAACACATTTACACATGTTTGCTGATCCCTCCTTTTATATTAGACCCCTATGGAAAAGACACACAAGTGATCCTGCTCAACCTCTAGAAACGCACAGGTTTGTAAGATTCTCTACAATACTAGAAAATGAACAAGCCTTGTAATGTTAATTATTATCCTCTGAGCTTTCAAACTATGATTTTTTTCTGTTTTTTCTAGTACATCTACTATAAAGTCATGCTTGGGATTGGGCTTTCCTGAAACCAGACACATTAGTTCAATCAATAGTATTTCTTGCCAACATAAACCTATGTACACATTCTATACATCCATAATTCTTTATTTTTGTGCTCTTCAGGATCTTCTACTTCTAGAGAACCCAGACTTTAAAATCTTATTTACCTCTTCTCCTAAGAATATTATTTAAAGAGAATACTCTATAGCAAAAATAATATAGTTTACCTTTCATAACCAATCCAAGTTCAGTTTGTGAACAAAACTTGAAACTTTTGTGTATATCATAAATTCTTTTTATTAATATATACTTTGTGTTTACCCCATTTTATTCATTTTTCTTCTGCTTTCAAAAGCAAAAGTAAAGGATTAAATATACTGTCATAGTGAACGTGCTGGCGCTTACCAGCCATTTTGAGCTCCAAGCCACATGGTTGGTAAAAGACTACTCATTTTCTGAGCTTCTTCTCTCACCAGGTCTTGTTCATTTGGCAATACTGATACTTGATCTTTATACACATCTGAGTCATTACTGTGAAAGAGGGAACAAGAAAGAAATGAGTACACTTACCTATGATTTTTAGGGGACTGAACATTTCTATGTAATGTGTATGTGTTTTTAAAATTTTTTAGGTGGACACAACATATTTTTATAAGGTGCTGAGAAACGAACCAAGTGCCTCACACATGCCAGGTGAGCACGCTACCACTTGAGCCACATCTCCAGCCCCTTAATGTGTTTTTAAAAAGTTTTCATTTATCTTATTTTTTGTGGTACTGAAGATTAAATCCAGGATCTTGCTAGGAAAGTGCTCTGACACTGAACTTTCTTTTGTTGTTTTTGTTAAACTTTGAGTCTTGCTAAATTGCCTAGGCTTGTAACCTATACTCCTGAGCCTCCCAATCAGCTGGGACTATAGGTGTGCTCCATCATCCTGACTTCTACATTTAAGTTTATCACTGGTCTTTTTTTTTTTTTTTCCTTAATTTTTTATTTTTTTTTATTGGTTGTTCACAACATTACAAAGCTCTTGACATATCATATTTCATACATTAGATTGAAGTGGGTTATGAACTCCAATTTTACCCCAAATGCAGATTATCACTGGTCTTAAAAAAAAAAAAAAAAATCGAACAGTAAAATTCCAGAAAGCCAATGTTAAATAGTAATATTTCAAGCTGGGTGCAGTGGCAAACGCCTGTAATCTTGTGGCTTGAGAGGCTGAGGCAGAGGATCCCGAGTTCAAAGCCAGCCTCAGCAAAAGTGAGGCACTAAGCAATTCAGTGAGACCTTGTCTCAAAGTAAAATACAAAACAGGGCTGGGATGTAGCTCAGTGGTCAAGTGCCCCTAAGTTCAATCTCTGGTACAAAAAAAACAAAAAAATTCAACCGGTGTACCAAAAACATTAACCCAGGAGTTTTAAAGTGCAGATAAGGGAGTAAGACATGGTAATGAAATTCAGCAGACAATGCACAGATTATAATTATGGGTCTCCTTTATAGTTATTTTGAATTTTACAATAGTTTCTTCTGGGGAGGAAAAGATACACATACACTCAAAAACTAAAAGAGTTTTCTAAAGGAAATTAAGCTGAAATATGCTTGTATTCTATCATAAAACTTTTCTTTTGAGTTGTTAGGAAAAATTAAGTAAAGGATATAACTGGACTACCAAATTCAAAATGTGACTTTATTCTAAATTAACAATTAAATGTTAATGAATGATTTGTTCTGGTTTAAATATTAGTAGACTTTTGGTTGCTCTACACACTGAGAAAAAATTCAGTTTCAAGAGACCCTCACCGAAGGGCTTCTAGAGAAGGCAAGAAAGAAAATGAAATAATTCACTAAATGGGACTGAATTAACCAACGCTTTAAAGGAAAAGCCTGTTTTCTAAGAAAATGTTTATATGATAACTAAATTCAGAAAGGTCATTCAAGCTCATGTGATGGGAGTATGAGTGAGACAAATTTAAACAATGGCCAATTTTGCTGGTGATGGGAGTTTGAGTGAGGATGGGGATGGGAATTTAAACGACCAAGAATTAATAGTAGAATGGAAAACATAATATAATTTAAAAAGACAAAAAACAGGAAAAAATGACCAGGAAGAGTTTGAATTGATGGACAAGATTTTTTTATATTGGAAAACACCCAGAAGAAATGAAGGGAAAAAAGTATCCAAAGAGAATGAAGAGAAAGGAAAAGATGAAGATACAGCAGGAACAGGCAATAACATCATTCGGATCACAACACTGATGCCAATTAGCAGGAATGTTTTGGCTACTTGAGGTTATTTTGGTTCCTTTTAGTTGTGCTCTTTACCCAGTTTTCTAAGTTAGTGACTTAGGAGGTATACCTTGACTGATAGACTGGAGAGAGGTCTTCTGGGAGCTGAACTCCTAAAGGATCTGTAAAGACATGCTCTGTGTATACACCAGGCTGGGAGATGTCCACAGTGTCTTCAGTGGATCCTGCATTGCCTTCTGTGGCTTCAGTTGCTTCTTCTGCTGTTGGAACATTTTCATCAACCTCACTATTTTCCGCTTCCATTTCTATAAAATATATAAAGCACTCCGAGTTTGAACTTTTCCATGCCAATTCTTTCCCCACACAAATCTCCACTCCACTGATCCTCTCTTTGCATTGTATTATGGAACTGAGCAGGTAACAGTCAATATGGCATCTTCTTCCCAGCTCTTTCATTCTTGCAAATTTAGGATCAACAAGTCCCTAATGAGGCATCTGGGATAGGATCAAACTCCACAACACATGGTAGGTAAGAGCAGACATACCTGGTGGTTTGTCTATCACTGGTGAAGCACCATTGGTACTAGGAGAAGTGGCAGTTCCTGTCACACCTTCTGTGGAGCAACCAACCACTGTGATGCCTCCCAACAAGCTATCTGTCTCTGCTGAGCTGTTGCTTGTCATGCTTCCACATAAAGATGCTTTGTCCACCTGACCAGATTCTGAAAGTTCTTCTCCTGCAGGATAGTCTGTTTCTCGGGCTCCTGGAAAATAAGATAAACTTTAATAGTTAAGTAAACTCCTATAAACAGCACTTTTTTTCCCTCCATTAAAGTCACTTGAAGCTTAAGGTGAAAATGTGCAGGTGAACTCTAAGATACCATCTCACTCCAGTAAGATTGGCAGCCATTATGAAGTTAAACAACAAGTGCTGGCGAGGATGTGGGGAAAAGGGTACTCTTGTACATTGCTGGTGAGACTGAAAACTGGTGCAGCCAATTTGGAAAGCAGTATGGAGATTCCTGGGAAAGCTGGGAATGGAACCACCATTTGACCC